ACACATTTATACATCCATTCAATACTTATTGAGTACTACTGTGTGTTTGACAGTGTGTTAGGCACAGACCATGTTACCTGCTATCAAGTGTTTACATAAATAATTTTTCGCTGATAAGTAAGTTTTAGCCATGGGATAAATGCATTATATCAGGTAGCTTTACAGCAGTATCAACCTCAAACATATATTTCTCATTCACGGTACATGCAGGCAGCTGTGGGTTGGCTGCTGTGATTCAACTCTGTGTGAACTTCCAACCCAGAACGCAGGCCAAAGACATACTTCCTATTTAGGACCTGACATTCTAATAGTAGAGTAAAAAGAGCAGGATCTAATTGTGCAGTGGCTTTTAACACTTCTGCTAGAATGTGATACACAGTCGATTCTCATTATTTCAGATAGTGATGCTCTATAAAGAACATTATATTAAATGTCTGTAAAATAATATCTATTAATTTTAATATATTATTAATTATAATATAATTAACATATAGTGAAAGATAATTAATGGTGGTGTTATAAAAAAACAAGTTAAAAAACTAATATCCTCCCACAGAAATTCTCCTATTTCCAGAGCTTCTTGCCCGGGTCAGTGGCACTGAATGTAAGCTGGTTACAAAGGACACAGGCAAATGACCCAAATGCATTTGTCATAATTGAATAGTCTCCATTAATATGTAATCTTTTCAGTAAAGCTGTTATGTTTTATATCATATTGAGAAATAAAAGGGTTATGAATATGTAAGTTGAACAAAAATATTATGCTAAATAATTTAGCATATTAATTAATTTGATTCAACTATTTGTATTGGCTACTTAGCATATGAAGAAACTCTATCTGGGAGACTCGAGCTTAAATTAAGGCCATGAAGGATTATACCTAGAACTATATTCATACAATGAGTGAATTTCATTATGTATAAGTTATTATCTTAATAAAATTAATTTGCAAAAGAATTTGTGTCTGTATAGATGTTTTAAGTTGTAATAATTATCATAGGTTTTATGAGACAATTTTCTGGCTGCCAGTATTACTGCTGTTTAAGTGAATAACAGGGAGTGGTATAATGAGATTCACAGCAGTAGAGGTCCAGAAGTATTGATTCAGTTTCTCTCCACTTCAAAAAGAAAAAAAAAACCCAGAAACACCCTGGGTCAAGAGCTGATTACAAGTTTAGCCATGTAAGAATACTATCACATCTGCTAAGTAATTAGACACACAAAAAAAGGTCTGGCCAGAATACCAGAGGGCAGAGAGAGGGAACTACAACATACAAATTTTTGGCTTCTTCCTCCTCCTTAGAGCTAATAGATATCCATCCTTCTGAGGAATTTGGTCAGGACTTTCTTTCATTGCAATGAACTATCTAATAATGAGTTTGCAGAGGTGGAGAAGTAAAATGCAGAGTACCCATATTCATGAGAAGAACAAAAAAAAAATTCTAGCCTTGGCAAAAAGCCAAATTAGTTTAGGCTGGCTTGGTAAATATCCTTTTGCACACTTGAAAAGCACTGAATTCTCAAAATTAAGACAGGGATAAGTTTAGACTTAGTGTTGAACATTATATTAAATGATGTTAACCAGATGAAAACATTATGCTTAAATATATATACATTTTTTAAGCTAGCAGGTTAAAAATATCTCTTTATATAGCTTTTGGACATAAGGTTGGTTTTTGTTTTTTTTTTTCACTTTAGGTTTTGAGTTAAATTTTCATCTATCACAAGGTTACAGAGTGTTTATCAAACTACATATGTTAAAGAGCTAGTTTTATCATATAAATTTATAGCCACATAGAATCAAGCGAAGCAGAAAAATCTCTAGAGCTAAACTCTACTTTTTTTTTTACCTTGGGCCAGTACTACTGTATCTTGTATTTCCTTATACCTGTTCAGGCAACTGTTGAAGATCTTCTATTTTCCAATCCTATGAATAAAATAAATTACCATCTTTAATTCTGATTTTTTTTTTTTTTTTTGAGACAAGAGTCTTGCTCTGTCATCGCGGTAGTCTGCGGTGGCATCATCACAGCTCACTGTAACCTCCAACTCCTGGGCTCAAGAGATCCTGCTGCCACAGTCTCCCAAATAGCTGGGACTAAAGGCACGGACAACTATGCTGGGCTAACTTTTTCTATTTTTTGTAGAGATGGTGGTCTTGTTCTTGCTCAGGATGGTCTTGAACTCTTGGCCTCAAGCAATACTCCCTCCTCAGCCTTTTGGAATGCTAGGATTAGAGGCATGAGCCACCACGCCTGGCCTAATCCTATCATCTTAAAAATGTAAAAGTCATTGCAATACAAACAATAAGAAGATGTGAGTTATTTGCACTGAGTAATATGGAAAAAGTACCTCTAAATTTAGAGATTTAGCTGCCATCTTTAAAAAACAAAAACAAGGTGACAAGAGACCAAAAAAAAAAAAAAACCAAAAACCCAAGAAAAAAATCAGCTTTAATTACTCTCCTCTGTAACTTTTAAGTCAAGTCTTGAAGTGAAAGCCTAAATCTTCTGTCTTTATTAGTCATCATTAATCACCACCTGGCTTTTCACTTTTCAAAACACTTCCCCAAAGTTGCTTCCATTAGTCAGTCATCAATGACCTCCTATCTACAATTCTGTATTTCTCCCAAAATTGATATGGTTCACTCCCCACCAATCTATATTTCTACATTAATCCTAAAATTTAGATTTGTGTTCCAACTTTCTATGAGAAATATCCTTTAAAATGTCCCCTGAATTTGTCCCAAATTGAAGGCATCTAAAATTAAGCTCATTATTTCTGTTCAGTACTTGAGCCTGTGCTAGGATTTCTTTAACTCTTTAAGGGCACCGTCATCCACCCAGTTGCCCAAATGAGAAAGGTGCTTGTTTCTCAAATCCAGAGATCTCTAAATCTTGTCAACCTGTAAATCTCTGTAAAATCTCTTCCTTCCTTACCACCTCACAGCCATTGCCTTATTTTCAAGCCCTCTTCATTTCTCATCTAAACTTTTATAAGTCTCTTAATTTCCACCTGTCCTCACCCTCCCTTTCTGCTATCACAGTTAGCTCTCTAAAATGGCAATTTAATTGTTGTAAGCTAAGCCCCCCAAATCATAAACCTAGTACACCAAGCCGACTGCCCTCTGACTGAGCTCTGTGGTCAGCCTCATAGATCCCACCCCACCTGTGCCTCATGCTCCACCTCTTTCCCAGCATGCACTGTGCTGTGTCAAGCCCGGGTCTTCAGAAATGTTTTGACTCATGGACCCTTTCCCCAGAAGCTTTATTTTCCTGATAAATAATTCTCACTCTTCGTCAGAATTTGCTCAAATATGTCCTCCTTGAAGCTCCAAATATGTCCATTCCAGAAGCTCCAAGAAAGTTATGTTATACTCTTGGTGCTCCTATAGCAATTTGAGCATCTAGCAAGCCCTCATTCAACACTGGGAATTTTCTTGGTTGCTGCTTTTTTTGTGTTTATTTCTTGAGACAGGGTCTTTGCTCTGTCACATAGGCCAGAGTGCAGTGGGGTCATCATAGCTCACTGCAACCTCCAACTCCCAGCCTCAAGGGATCCTCCTGCCTCAGCCCCCAAGTGGCTGGGACTACAGGTTCATGCCACCACACCTGGCTAATTTCTTCTATTTTTTATAGAGACGAGGTCTTGCTCCATTGCTCAGTCTGGTCTCAAACTCCTGGCCTCAAGCGATCCTCCCACCTCAGCCTCTCAAAGTGCTGGGATTACAGGTGTGAGCCACTGCATGCAGCCTGTTGCCATTTTTCAAGGGAAAGAAATCAAAACAAAATAAATTTCAGTGATTTTTTTTGTTTGTTTTAAAAAATAATAAAAGCTATATGCTAAATACTTTTCATTCAATAATGGGAAAAATTAGCAAAAATGAGCCTATATGTAGGTAAGTGAGTATAAAAATGAGTTTATTTCTGTGGAATAAAAAGCAAATAAACAGTGAAAGGTAAAAATAAATAAGAAGAAAAACAGAGTAGGCAAGAATTCGAGAAAGAAACTTACAATGAGAGAAAAAGACCAAGCCAAAGTTCTTTGGCATTTTGTTTTTTACTTCCTTGAAATTATTCTTTTCTTAAGCAAATGTCTCCTTGTTCTCATCATTCAGGCGCACAAGGGGAGAGCAGTTCTGATGACATGAGCCGAGCCTGACTGTGGCTGTGCTAGATCCGTGTGTGGTCAGTAAGCCATGACAAACACACGCTTTAGCAGTGGGGTGACTGCATCCGTGCTCTTCTTACCCGATGAAACACCGGACGTAGGTGAAGAGATCCAACTGTGGTGGGGATCCCGCGGAGACCTTGGTATTAGGCCAATGTAGTTAAAGCAAAGTCCGAGTCCCTGTTTTCTGGTATTTCACCTCTCAGTAGAGCAGAGACAAGCTCAGATGTGAAAGCGGCCAGGAGCATGAAGGAAATAATGTGTCTATGGAGAAGAAATCCATCGTGACTGTGAAGCCAAGACTGTCATGGGGCTGCTTCCTTCAGAAATTCCAATGACCACAGAAAGGATGTGCCATGGAACGTATCCTTTCCTTTGTCATCTGAATATGCGGAATTGATCTGAATGCTGGAATGTTTTCTAATGTGTGGGGGTTCTCAGGTGAGCTGTTGCTGCTGGTGCCTACTCCTGTGCACACAGCCACGACGACAGCTGCCACCGCTGGGAGTGTGCACACCGGGGCAGGGACAGAGCACACACACCCCCCAAAATCACAAGAGTGTGGGGGACACGCTCTCAAAAAACGAGATATCACAAAAAAGCACAGGAAAACCCACAAAATGGTGACAAAAAACACACACAAAAATATAAAAATCACATGAAAACAAATTCTCCGCGTGCGCCCACAAAAAACACTACACACCCTTTCGCATTTTGTACACCAAAATACCAAAAAAAAACAAAACAAAAAGTCAGAAGTCAGTTTAGTTAACACATATGACAATGACAAAAAGCTACTTATTCTTCAGACTGAAATGTTTTAAGGTCGAGATGATAATGATTTGTTTTACTTGTTTTTTAAAAAGGGCACATTTAACACCCAGATTCTCTCTTAGGGAAAATCTGAAAGATGAACACCTTCTATCTAACCCTCAACAGTTGTCATTCCAGAAAGAAAACAAGGGTATGTGAGAGCCAGCTATCCTCTCAGGGCAACAACAAAATCTCCATGAAGAACACTGAAGATGAAATTTCAGTGCTATAACAATAAAAACACAGACTTTCCAAAAAAGGAACCTATAAAGCAGTGGGTGAAAGCAATGAACGGTTCACATGATGATAAAAGCAGAGAAAATGACATTCAGTCATAACCCAGAGGGAGGCACAGAGCCTGAGGGAATGTGATATTTACATGAGTACTCATGCTAGGAAGCTGGTTGTGGTTCCGTACAGAAGGATAGTAAGTATTTGCTTCACCTATAAACTTCATTTCCAACAGTATTTTAAAACAGATTTCAAGATATAAAGGCCAAAGTAATAAGGGCCAAAGTAAGCTGAATGTGGTTTTTCTTCCAATTTGATATTTAAATACAAAATCATGTTACTTGAATAATTAAAAACTAAAACATTTTAACATGAAAAGTTATCCCAAAGTGAAACCATGGACTAACAAATTGAAACAGAGAAAAAAAATTTCAGCTAAAATTGCCTGCTTCTGAGGGAAAAAAAGTGCTATATAAGATAATTTTTAAAACAGTGATATGTCATTTAGCACTGATGTAACATTTTCAATTTAGATATATTCTATAGGAATTGAAAATTCAATGTCTGGGGGAAAGCGCTCACTAAGGACCTACCTGGATGTTGCACGAAATAATTGAGGCTCCATTAATCAGCCTGGATAAAATCTCTGCTGTAGCCAAGAAGATATGTCTGAAGGAGCTTCCAATGCAGATCTGAGACAAACAGTGGACTTCAAAACATTGAAAATGAAAAATGAAGTTCAAAACTATTTTTCAACTCTGGTAAACCTTTACAATAGTGGGTTTTCACAAGAGTATAAGTTATTCTCTCCTCTGACCCTATATCATCCAGATTATAAGGAAAACATGTTCTTATATCCACCACTCTGTGCCCTGTTGTAAAGGGCTGAATCAGACAAAATCCACAAAATGACTTTTTACCCCTTGTTTTGACTGTTTACCCTCTATTTTGCACATTTTGAAGAAATGGAGGGCTTATCGATGAAGCAACTTTACATCTTCAGTGAGAGAAATGTTTTGAAACACATGCAAGAACAGTCCAAGCAGTACTTTTAGTAAATATAATGGCTGATAGAAATACACCAAAACCTTACTTTTTTCTTTGAGCTTCTTATTTTAAAATTTTTCATCTACACAGGAAAACCCTATGAATTAGAAATTAGCATACGTTACAATAAGTAATATTTTCAAAGTATTATTATTTAGTCTCTTTTTATCTAAAACAAAGGAACCCTAACCTCATAAAAACTGAACATTAAGCACTATTTGGTGACTTCAGGATTGGCAGTCTAATAAATAATGCTCTGTGTGAGGTTGGAAAGACATTGTGTTGTAATTAATTAGAAGACCTAAATTTGAGCTACTACCTCTGTCACATCATCTTTCTGAACCTTGATTTTTCTCGCATTAAAATTAGGCTTATATCTCAGGTACTCTGTTGTAGAAAAAAAAAAAAATTAGGCTTATAGAGTACAAGCACTTATTGCACCATATGTGATGAAAAGCCAGTTAATGTCACTTTGGCGGTTTTTTACATTTCCATCACAATGTGATCCCTGGTCCTCCACTGGTGTGTCACGTCCAACTCCCCACTCAAGTTCAACAACACTGAAACAGTCTCTCTCCCGTTCAATGAGAAGAGGGCACTGAGGATGCAGTCAGATGCTGTGCCAACAGCAGACTGCCAGGAGGTTTCTGAATGCTTGCTCTCAAGCCCTGTATTTACTTGGTGCTGCACTGATAACAAGCAGCCCCCAGACTGGTTCTGGTCGCTGGATCAGACTCTGGGTAGCGCTACTCTAATATATCGTCTAGCCCCCAAGTCCTATGGTTCCATTTTATTTTTAAAACCTAAATGCATGAACTGTTTAGGAATGTCCTTTAACATGTACAATTCTACCTATGCTAAACTATAGGAGAGGGGAATCCATTTCCCTCGAGTTTGATGAACTGGGTTTTCTAACGGATAGGAAAATGTGAGACCTACAGGTATATAAAGCCGTGGCATTCTAGAGCCAAGAAAGACTTTGGAGGTAATCTGATTCAAGTCCCTCATTGGATAGACAATAATGTTACTAATTTTCACATAACAGATGAAAATGTACCAAAGATACACTAACTAGAAGGTTCTTTTGAATGAGTCATAAGTTGCTTTGTATCTCTTAGTGTCACAGTTGTCATTTGTAATCACAACGAAAGGCTAAATTTGACCGAATGTTGTCAGATGTTACATACACTATATTTCCAAATATAATTTTTTAAAAACCACATTTCATTCAAGATATTTTCTGTCATGTATAACCTACCTTATTAGAAATTACAGTCCATATGATACTCAGAACCTCCTCAGGTATGAAGAAAAGTTTTGATAAATTCATTTATTTTTCTAAAAGCAATTAGTCTATTTTTTCCTTCTAAAAGTTGAGGGCTCAAACCTTGGTATGAAATTTTCAATAATTTTCTAAAAATACAAAGCCATTGGTCTCTTCTCCCAAAAGAACAGGAAAGGTTTCCAAATTCCTGATTTTGTCTCAATTTTAATTTTGAGGGAAACAATCTTGGGATGTAGTAGTGGTTCCTTTTAATTATTTGGATATTCCCTTGTGTTGCAGTTGGGACAAATACATTCTTGTGATGAGAATTTACAATTTAGTAATCTAAACATGACCACTCAATAAAGTACAGAATTGTCCTTCTCCAGCTGCAGAAGAGGAAGTTAATGGATTCCCAGGCACAATGAAGAGTCATGGAGAATTCCTTATGGTCCTGGGCCTAGCTGGCTTCTGTTACTCTTTCTTTGATGCTGAAATTACCCAGTGACTAACATCAGTTTCTTCTACAGATTTTAGAGGATTTTAAGGAGATAACAAATGTTAAACATATATTCTTAACCTCTATCAAGAATTTCAATCCCTTCTTTCATCTTGGAAACCAATTTTTCATGTAGCCTTTTTACTTCAGCCTCCTTTTCTGTCAGTTGTTCTTTTAAAGATGCCAGTTCATCGTCCAAATTACAAATTCATTTTAAAATAGTAGATTATGACTATAGGAGAATATTCAGAAAGCATCTTAGCTCTTTAAATCAGTAATTAGATTTTCCACATGAAGCAAGAATCTACAAGAATTTAAACACAAACATCAGAAATCAGAGGCAATGAGAACAAAGCCAGACTATGTATTTATTTATTTTGAGATAGAGTCTCGCTTTATTGCCCAGCCTAGAGTGAATACCATGGCGTCAGCCTTGCTCACAGCAACCTCAAATTCCTGGGCTCAAGCAATCCTGCTGCCTCAGCCTCCCAAGTAGCTGGGACTACAGTCATGCACCAGCATGCCCAGCTAATTTTTTCTATATATATATATTAGTTGGCCAATTAATTTCTTTCTATTTATAGTAGAGATGGGGTCTTGCTCTTGCTCAGGCTGGTTTCAATCTCCTGACCTCGAGCAATCCGCCCGACTCAGCCTTCTATAATGCTAGGATTACAGGCGTGAGCCACTGCGCCAGGCTGGAAGCAAGACTATTAATAGAAAACCAATTAATAATAGTTATGGTATAATTATTTCAAATTTCTTTGTGATCAAATTAAAAATAAATCTCTTACACTGTAATTAGGGCCAAGAGAGCCCTAAAGTTTAAGTCATATGTTAAATACTAAAAAAAAAACAAAACAAAGTTAAATCAAGGAAGATAATAAAATTAGGTACTTAGTGTCATAAAAGCAAAATAAAATGCAAATTGGAAAAACCTTGCTTGACATTTACGCAGTGTATCAAGATGGCACCTATGCTTCTTGGACAAGCAGAAAGTTCATTTAGTGAGTATGGCAGCAAGTCATGAAAAACTATCCAAACCTCAGAACTAACTAATTCATCTTTATCACTAAAATAAAAGAACAGAATCTCCTACAACAATGAGAAAAAATAAATTCAGAAAACATATTTTTAAGTCCTCTTTTTATTTTTTAACTATGCAATTGTAAAAGATTCTAAGTCCATTAATCTATTTATTAATGTTTTAAATTCAGTTTCATTTTAGTAAAGAATTAGCTTTAGCAAATTTAACTTTTGTTGACTGTATTTAACATAGAAAATAATAGGGCTATGCAATGCTAATAAATATACCTTTATATTTTATATCCCATTTTACTTTCTAAGATTTTTAAAGATATTTATTACATATAACAGTACATGAAAACATAGCTCATAGAATATCCAGGTTGACTTACTGTAGGAATAGACACCAATATAAGAAATTTTCAGTAGCACTAGCAATAAGTGCTACCCTGTTCTCACAGTCCTGCTTCTATGCAGTAATTTCTATCACTGCCATGATACAGTAAACTGCTGGACATTTACCTTCAAGAAAGTCCCTATGGAAGAAAGCAGTCTCTGCTGTTGATATGCAAGAGAATTCTTTTACAGGTGAGCTTCTACAATTATTTTACCATGCTTGGGTCTCAGATAATCCATTCCACTGACCTTTCTAACAGTGGACCAAATAAATTAGGAAGACCTGCTCTCATTGTGGACGGCAACCATCCAATAAGCTGGGGGCCCAGACAGAAAAAAAAGCAGAGGAAAGAATTCAATCTCTCTTTCTCACTCTTCTCCTGCCCTTGGATACCAGAACTCCAGGTTTCCAGACTTTGATTCCAGGACTTGCACTAGCAACTCACCCCCCACCCCCACTGGGCTCTCAGGCCTTCCACCTTGGACTGAGGGTTACACCATCACCTTTCTTATTTCTGAAAGCTTGAAATGAACCATGCTATCAGCATCTCTGGGCCTCTAGCTTGTTGAGGGACTTCTCAGCTTCCATAATCATGTGAGCTGATTCTCCTAATAAATACCCTCTGACATATCTATTAGGTTATTAAGTATGAAATATCCAACTTCCTTAAGTACTAAGTTTGACAGTTGATACATCTGACATTCATTTTGAAACTTCTTATTTTATTTTTACTGTGAAGGTACATCTACTTTTATTATGAAGGTACATCCTCATTCTTTCAAATGCATGGTTTGGCTTGTGATTATTTTCAACTATTTTTAAAAGCAATTTCTGTGAAACCATGGATAAGTCAAAAATTTGTGTCATTTTCAAGTACGAGTTACATCATGGAACCAATGCAGTGCAGACAGTTCAAAATATCAATGAAGTTTTTGCAAAGAATGTGGCTAACAAAATCACAGTACATTGATGGCTTGAGAAGTTCTGTTCTGGTGATTTTAAACTTGAAAATGAGCCACGTGGGCAACCTGAGACCAAGGTGGATAATGATGAGCTGAAAGCTGTAGAGGAAGCGAATCCATCTCAACCTACATGTGAATTAGCAGCAAGGTTTGATGCTACTATTCCAACAACATGAGACCATTTGAAACAAATCTGCAAGGTAAAGAATCTGGCTGGATAGATGAGTACAGTATGAATTAAGCATCAGAAGAGAAATCCCCAAGCTTACCTTTCTTTGCTTGCACGACATAAAGGCAAACCATTTCTACACTGTATTATAATGTGTGATGAAAAATGGGTTCTTTCTGACAATCACAAGCCTTTGGCATAATAGCTGGATAAAGATGAAGTGCTAAGAAACAGTCCAAAACTGAATATTCATCAAAAAAAGCTAATGGTGGCTGTTTGGTGGTCTAGCACTGGTATTATCCACTACAGTTTCATGAAACCTGGTAAGTTAATTACAACAGATGTCTACTGCAACCAACTGGATGAAATGATGAGGATGCTTGCAATCAAGCTGCTGAGATTGAGCAATAGAGTTTGGCCAATCCTCTTGCAAGACAATGCTCAACCACATGTTGCACAAACAACACCGCTCAAACTACAGAAGCTGGACTTGGAAACTCTCTGTCATCCACCATATTCACCAGACCTTGCAAGTCACCAACTGACTACCAGTTCTTCCAGGGTTTAGACCACTTCTTGCAAGGAAAAATATTAAATTCTCAACAAGCTGTGAAAAATGCCTTTCACAATTTCATTGCCACTGGCTCGCCAGGCTTGTTACTGGCATAAACAAGCTACCATTAAGATGGCAATACCGTGTGGATAGGTTAGGTGCATACTTTGATCAGCTGTACTGCTTCTTGTGAGATATAATAAACTTTTGATTTATTACATTATAGCACTTCCATGCCCTGTTCAAAGCCTTCCAATGTGATCCCAAACTCTGAATAAATCCAAGTAAAAAATCCAAATGGAATGCCTACAAGCCCTTATCAGATCGAGCCATGACTTAACTCTACGACATCTTATACTATGACTTTCTCCTTTGCTCAGCTCTAGCAATGTTGGCTTTCTTTCTGTTCCGTTATCACACCCCTAAGCTTTTTCTCACTTTGGGGCATTTGCACTTGCAGTTCCCTATGACAACAATGCTCTTCCCACAGATCTTTGCAGGGCTCTGGGCTCTGCTCAAATGTCACTTTCTCAGGTCTTTCCTGACTACCTTATCTTATCCTACCCTATAGCCACTACACCCCCAATCCATCATTCTCAATACTCTGCTTTATTTTTCTTCAAAGCGCGAAACACTACCTGACATTTTATTTAGTTATTTACTTGTTTATACTGTGACTTCCCAAAAAGAACGGAAACTTCATAAGGTAAGAGACCTTGCTGTATATCCCCAGTGTGTAGAACACTGCCTAGCATATAGTGAGAGTTAAGTATTTGTAGAATGAAAGACTGAATGAAAATTTAAAATTAGAAAAACGTTAAAAGACTATGAAGAGTCACTATGAAGCATTAAGAAATGTATTATCTATCTTAAAGCAATGGGAAACTATTTGGAGATTTTGAACAAGGGAGTAGCAAGACAAGATTTAAATTTTAAAAACCTCATTCTGGCTGTTGTGAGAATTTAATTCAGGGGAGCAAGAGGGGAAACAGGAAACTATTGCAGAAATGAGAGATGATGACCTAGACTGGGCTGCTGATAGTATGAACAGAATAAATTAGAGATACTATAGGAAGCAGCACACATAGGACCTGCTGGTATACTGGAGGTGCCCACCCCTTGGCTGAGCCTTTCTAGACTCTTGCCATCCTCTCCTCAATGCTCTTCACACTCCTCATACAGCGCCTTTCACTCCACATAGTACTTCATGATTAATAAATCTGCCTTTTCCAGTAGACTTCTCTGGGGCAAGCACACTATGAAGCATCCCTATAATCTCTGTTACATGAAGGTCACCCCATTTGCTGGCTTGGAATTCAGAGCTGCAGTTTGCTCTGGCACAGCCATATGCCTCTCTTAATGAGGAAAATCCACGGTTCAACGCTGCCGGATAAACATTACTGAGCACCAGCCACTGGCGAGACAACTCCGGAAGGAGCAGGTCTCCGAGGAGGAGGGAGGATGCAAGCTTTCTGAGCAAGCGTCCAGAGGGCCCAGAGCAGAAACCAAAGACTGGGAGCAAGAGGACAAGGGGACGCGGGCGCAGAGGACAGAGCGACATCCGCAGCTTTCCTACTGGCGGGCTAGCGACAACCTGCGAGGATGTACTGGACTCCCCAGCGCGGCGCTGCCTCAGCCACCGCCGCAGCCACCGTGGGGCCGGTCTTCCCCCTCGAACTTCCCCCACAGCCCGGACACAACGAGGGCTAGGTCTCAGAGCATGAGTGGCTGGGGACACGGCGGCAGAGAATGCATGCCGTGTCCTGGTCCCAGGCTACAGAGCCGACCCAACCACAAGAGAGGCGGCCGCCATGGTTGCGCGGACGGCGAGGCGTAGGGGACAAACGCGTTCGCCGTCAAGGGGGCGGGTCTGGGGCGTGAGGGGCGGGCTCACCGGTTCTTGCCCCGCCCCTAGGATGGAGAAACAGGAACCACGTGGGTATGCGAACTCGACGCGGGAATCAG